GGGAAGGGAAGGGAAGGGAAGGGAAGGGAAGGGAAGGGAAGGGAAGGGAAGGGAAGATCAAGGCAGTATATAACAACTCCATGCAAACAGTCAAGTGTATGTTGGGTTGGCCAAGCTCCTGGGGTTTTCACAACCTTCCAGAAAGCCAAGAAGATTGGGCCATCTCAACCTCAATCTCATCGCTATGCTTGACTTAGCCAGTGAAAGTGGACTTAGCCCTCATCATGAATAGTTCTGACCTTCTACCCTGCACAACCCAATTAAGTAATCAGTGAAAATGAAATTAGAGCAAAGAAAGTAAGGACCTTACCTGCAGAGGAACATAGGCGAAATTAATAACCTGGACAGGAGTCCACACTTTCCAGTTCATCTTTAGGGTTGCCCAGTAACCAGACTTCATCTTTCTGGAGAACGCAGACATGTCCTTCCCCTGAAAGGAAACTGTGATCAGTGACGTGCAAAGGGAAATGAAACTGCCCCCCATCCAGGAGATACCAAAAGCCCCCAGAGAGAAAGACTTTGCTAGTGCAGTAAAGAAGCACCACAAGAATCCAGTAAGGTAGGAGATCAGAGGCACACAGCAAGTGAATAGACTTTCACCCATGTTTTCTTTGGAAAGTGGCCCAACTTTGGAGCCCGTTTTTCTACAAATGAGGAGTGCTTGGAAGCAAGTGAAAGGGGAACCCCAAATCTGTGAATTTGGGGTCACAGTTCTGAAAGATCCTCACGCGCCTTGGTCTCCAGTTCTCTCTCCACTGTTCTGGATGTTGTCCGGCAACCACAGACACGCTGCCTGCATTCCACACGGACTTGGAAAGCATTTTATCTCAGTGTAACTTTTTGGCCCATGTTAAACTTTTTTTTTTTTTTGGGTGCCTCCTAATCAGTTTTTTGACTCCTGGCAACTGCCTGGTCAAGTCCCTAAAGTTTTCTTGGCAAAGTTTTTCCAAAGTGGGTTGCCATTGCCTGCGTCCTAGGGCTGAGAGCGCATGACTGGCCAAAGGTCACCCAGCGGGCTTTGTGTCCAAGGCAGGACTAGAACTCACGTTCTGCTGGTTTCTAGCCCGGTCCTTAGTCACCCCACCAAACCGGCTCTCACAATGTGATTATGGACTGATGTTTTTCCTAATGTTATTAGATTGTTACAATCCTTATTAGACTGTTCTGTTAATAATGTCGTTCTTCGTTGTGCACTGCCAAAGTCTTTTCTGACTGGGCTGGTTTGCAAACACTGTACAACAAATAAAAAAAAAATCTGTTTGTAAACTTCCAAGCCCCAGTTAGAACAAAGCTCCAGCAATGGTCTGCTTGCAACGGACAGCAGCAACGTCCTGTCTTCTTGCGACTGTGACACAACGGTTCTCTTTATGTTCTCCTTTGGCTGCCATCAGGCACTCCTTTTAGAAGAGAAGACGGCAGGAAAAATGTGGCTGCCCTTTTCAAATCCCTGGAACCATGTCACAAGAAGAAGGGTGAGCCTCTAGCGTTCCCGAGCACAGGATACAGGATAAGGGCTTTAAGTTACAGAAAAGAATCCGGCCAAACAGGAGAAAAAACTTCCTAAAGGTATGAGCTGTTTGACAACAGAACCAGGGATCCAGAGTGAGGAAGGGGGCAAAGTTCTGGGCATGTTTTGCAAGTTGGGGGGGGGCGGGAATATGATTGCCCTGTTCAAATCCCTGAAAAGGTGACACACAAAAAATGATTAAACTCTGCTGTCTAACAACCTAGCATTGGAGACAAAAATAATGGGATCCAGGTCACCAGGCACAGACGATTGACTGTCAGGGGAAAAAACACCCTTTCCAGGAAGAAGAGTAGGACCAATGACCACCAAAGGAGGGGACTCCCCTCCCCTAGATGTGTCCAAGCAGAGGCCAGACAGCCATCCATCTGAATTCCAGCAGTGAGCAGGGGTTCAACGGGGTGCCCTCCGTTTCTAGGGATCCTGGACCCTCGTAGGATCGTCCCCGAGCAAGATCCTACCTCCAAAAAGTTCATGACCAGGAAAAAAAGGGCCACAAAGGCTGGGGAGACAATGAGACGGTCCACCAGCAGACGTTTGACGAGAGCCAACGGTTCATCTGAAGGAATCAGTTGCTCCAAGTACAGGTAGAAGTAATGACTGAGAGGTCCAGTGAATAAAAATCTGCAAAGGGAACGAAATGGTGAGCGGTGCTGCTATCAACAGTCTCTCCTACCAAATTAACCAATTATAAAATTCAGTCTCTAACAGCTTAATGTTTAGTGATAGGCTGCAAAGAACCCCAAGGGCCCTGTAGTCACTCCTCTGCATCCATCATTGGCTGAACTGCTGTGACATCATCCAAGCCTCGGGAAAGATTCTAGCTGCTAGCTATAGATTGTCGAGAAACAGTGCACCTTCTGCAAGGTAAGTGAGAGGTTGGGTGGAAAGAGGGAGGAAAGGCTCTCCAACCAAAGACAAAGAGGAGCGCATGCAGGTGGAGGGAGAGCAAGGAAGCTGCAGCGAGCAGGCAAAATGGGGAGAAATCCAGAGGGAGGGGAGACAAAGGAACAGGCAGAAGGCAGAAAGAGTAGGAGTTTAAAGGAAAGCTAGAACAAAGGGGATCGCAATCTGGAACTGAAGAAAAGGAGGCCTTTAGCCTGGACTTTGGAATAAAAAGGACTAGAAGTTATAGGATGTAGACAGGCAAAGAGGCAGGGAATTCCAGCAGCCACAGCAAGAATGGAAGTGGATTTCATAAAGCAGTTGGCTCGAGCCAGCCTAAATTCTGGCTACAAGTCAGGAGAGTCAATGAAGCAGACGTCCCTCTGTTCCCAGGAAGCAGAGTTGCAGAACTCCCACGGCTTGCGGGCCCTCCTTTGCATGGCATGTTGAGGGCCACACTCCCCAAAATGGATCCAGGAGTTTTAAGGCTAAAATAGAAACGAATCATCCAAGTTGGCCCTGGAAATGCCCCCAAGCTCCAAAAATGCAAATACCAAAGGATGGGGGGTTTGCCCCACTGATTTCGAGAACGAAAGGCTTGCTGGAGGGCCAGTGATGTACATGCCTGTCAAAAGGCAACGTCTTTTGGGCAAGGTGTCCCCGAAGTTGACTTTTCAACCCACGCAAGGCGCTTGGCTGCTACCTCCAGTGAGCATCTTCCACCCGTCCCAACTTACCCATAGACAGCAAAGCGCAGGGGGTCCCGCCAGTCGAGGCTCCTCTTCTTCTGGCTCTTCTCAATCACCTGGGCCAGGAGACTCCCTAGAGCTGACAGGAAGGCACTGTGGGAACAAAGGAAGCACTGGAATAATATCAGGATCTGGAATACCGGCATAGGAGGCATCAAGTGACCGAGTTCACATCAACAAAGTCACAACCTTGGGCAGAGCAATTTACTCAGCACAGGCTGCAAAACTGCCCCTCGGTCCTTTGCCTGCCGTTGAAAACTAGCATGTCAGGGAGATAGTTCTAAGTTAGCCTTCTCCTTGAACTGCTAGGTTTCTACATGCCGCGAGACTGTAAAATGAATGTGCGGTATTCAAAAATGCAATTCCCACTTAATCTGGAATGGCACGGAAGTCTGCACTGTGCCCGTATCAGCTACATGGGAGAAATGCTTGCTCCTGTACCAACACCCCTTCAGATGGGGCTACGACCTACAGTCCAAGACAAATATACCATTGCAACATCCGTAACTGGGTCTCCTGTGCTTCTAATCATGGTTAATAACAGCCAAAGCTGGGGTTGGCGTGGGGGACGGGGGGATGTGGTCACAGGGCAGGGAGGAATAAATTCTTACTGCATGACTTTTTAAACTCAAATTCTCTCTCTCTCCCCTTGCCCCAACCCAGCTGCTACCAACATTTTAAAGAATTGTAAGAAATGCAATCAAAAACCTCAAAACTGTATCTAGTTAACCTAACTAGGAATTCTGGAATATATTATTTAACCCTCTACCTCAGTGTTGTCCAAACCTGGCCACTTTAAGATGAGTGGGCTTCAACTCCCAGAATTCAAAGTCCAAAAGTCAGTGGGGAAGCTGGCAAGAAGTTGCAAGTCCCAGGCGGCTCGCAAGCAAGCCGGCAAGCAGGAATGTGGCTGCTGCCGGGTGGGAAAGGGTGCGTGAGTGGCAGGGGAGGTGCGGTGCGGGTGCAGCAAGGCTCCAGGAGGGTGCACAGGTGGGGGAGACTTACCTAAGCCGCTTGCGACCTCCCCTGCTGGCTTCCCCATTGACTTTGCCTGCGGGAAGCTGGCAGGGAAGGTCACCAATTGTGATCACCATTGCCAAGCACCTAGAATGCAATTACAGGGCCGCGGGAGGCCAGAACTTCAAGGACTGGTCGTAACCACCCTTCCTTCAGTGATGCTGTAACGCTGAACGGTCATTGAGTGAGTAGTCGTTAACTGAGGACTACCTGTAAGCCATTTGCTCTTCTATACATGGAAAGCAACGCGATCAGGCCGGTAGCGGGAAAGGGTCAGGCAAAGGAGAGACTGCTTACCGAAATTGCTTTCTTTTTTCCTTCTCCCCACCCCCTCGCACAGCAGGTAAGACTGGAGAAGGGATTTCAAGAGCGATTCCAAGTAAGCGGTTTGCATAACGTGGCGTGATCGCATTGCTTTCAATGCGTAGAGGCGCTTGAGCATTCCAAAGGGCAGGGTAGGAGGCGAACAAATGAAGGTGTGAAACTGAGCCATCTTCTCTTTCCAACCGGAAAGCAATTCGTGGTCACATGATTTCCCACTTAGCTAGCTACAGAGTTGCCGGTCCCAATTTGGGTCACTAAGTGAGGACTACCTGTAAATGTCTGAGGTTTCAGTAAGACAGGTTCCTCCCAGGTCCTCCCTAAAAATGTTCTAATCATTTGCACCTGATCTGGTGCATCTAATTCTAAGTTTAGGCATTTGAGGGAGTGATAAATGTAGGGGTGTACTTAATTGTCCACAGGTGAAATGGGCATTTATTTAAATTACACAATGGACTACGAAATGTAAATGGCACGTGATATTTGTTACAGGTAGTCCCCGGGTTAAAAACGCCCGGTTTACAGACCCATAGTTAAGAACGGAGCCTACTGTGGCAAAATTCAAGTTCAATCCACAACGGTTCAAGTTCATGACAAAATACTACTTACACAGTATTATACTATAATACTGTTCTGGCTTACATACAAATTCAGCTTAAGGACAGACCTTGGGGATGGAATTCGTTCTTAAGCTGGGGACTCCCCGTATGTGATGTCCCTTTTATCTACCAATATTGTTGAAATGAAGATCAAATATGTCGAAATATGCTGGAAAAAATCAAAAATTTCAGTGGGATGTACTTTTTCGCATCACTGTAACCCCCTACCAGCGTCCTGCTTTCTAAAGAAATGTCCATCTTCCCTTCTTTCCCCCTAGACCCAGAACCCTCTCCCAACCTGCCCCTTCGGTTCATTTCCTTCCACAAAGCCTCTTTTTTCCTGGGAATTTTTTTTTTTTTATTATTGTGGGATCAGGCAACCCATCCTCCCAAATATTTTAGACCTGAAGTGGGAACCCTGAAGCCCTCCAGATATTGCTCCCAGCCTCCCTAACCAGCATAGCCAGTGGTGAGGGATATGGGGATTAGGGATATGAGGCTAAGAGACAGACACTGCAGGGATCCCGGGAACACTATTTTAGTGTTGTAGAACAGGGTTCCTCAACCTCAGCGACTTTAAGACGGGTGGACTTCAACTCCCAGAATTCCCCAGCCAGCATG